TTACGGGACTCGAAAAAAGATGGGAAAAAAGACACATTCGTAGCAGTCGACTACCTCTCTCCGGTACTTTACTAGTGTCCGTTGAATTAACCACAAGTCAGCTAGCTGTCATTAATCAATATGTATGTTTTACTGATGCGGAACCTCAGTGTAAATGACCAATGAAAGCCAAATATACCTAGTGGAGGATTGCAGAATGGGATGACCTCGTCATCTTGTGTCAGCCATCCCCATACAGCAATCGGAAGGGCATAACATGTACAAAGAAAGACGATTAAGGAAAGATACGGCATTTTGGGTAGCATGCGGTACCTAAATGAAGTAGATGTGTCAATTATCCACTTCGGATTAAACACTCGCATATAGAAAAAACAAAGTATGTGTCGAGCATTTGCAAAAAAATCCTTACCAGACAGGGAATATAAGTGCGATCAACAAGTCAACAGAGATCATAAGAGTCATGCTAGCTTGTTGGCACATCGCGAAAATATACAGATTAATGAACGAGTAGCAAGTACGTCTGGTAAGTGGTTGACCCGATAGAATGAATGCTGCATTTAGTACTTCCGAGAGTAGACAAATTGTGTGATAACATGCTATCGTAGCAAGCAAAATTCCTGGAACTGAGTATCTCCAAACAGGTTATTGCGACATTTGAGGGAAATTGTGTAAACTGGATACATGACTTAGGGTACACCATAATATTTAAACCGGTTTCATAGGCTCTCATGTCTTTCATGCCGTGAAAAAATACGCGCTCTTTGAGATCTTGAATTTGACAATGAAACACCTTACAGCATTTCCGACATTCCGGAGAACTGCTGCTGTGTTCTCTTGAAATGAATGAAGCGGAGTGAAGGGGAGTTTTGTTGTACCTGTGAGATAACGAATGATTGTGTAGATGAGCCTTTGCAGATAGGTGCACAAGGTGACAGAAAGGTGGGTAACGCTAAGGCTGGTGTCAGAGTCCGCGATCCGTCGATCATTGAAATCACAATTACCCTGATCAATACTTCGAAGCGCTTTCCTATCTTTCCGCCATTTCTGCTTGATGATGATGGTTGAATGACGACTATATACCCTGATCATTACTGCGAAGCGCTCTCCTATCCCTCCGCCATTTCTACTTGATGATGATGGTTGAATGACGACTATTCATGGTTCTAGTTCTTTCATATTCAGCGCTTCCTGTGTTTAAATGAGGGACTAGCGGTTTTTGAGTCTGCGATCTATCGCGAGTATGGCGACTCAAAAACCGCTAGTGCCTCATTCGATCATTGGCTATCTGGTACCAGCCTAACAATTAGCTCCGACATGGGTTATATTCGCCATCCTCTCTTTTGTAAAACTCGAGTGCGTTTCCTGCTCATACTTAAGCTTGAGTGCTTGGCTAGTCGTGCGGACCAACTTTATCCGCACTCATCGAAGTCCATTTTCATGAAACAACCGTTAGCAGTTTTTAGGCAACAAGTCTGCACCATAAACTCAAACCAGAACGTGCAGGGACTTATAGGCTTGTCCAATCCATTCATAAATTCACATGCAGAACCAATTTTATGAGAAAGTAGGGAGGACTTATATTCACGCAAGTGGACCATAAACTAGTTGTTCGAGCTCATTCGAGCAATTGCAATAAAGTTGCTGTGTCAAAACAGTCATAGTCTCAAGTTAAGATTCGTCGATTAGAACAACTTTTTTCATGCTCAACTGGTGCCGTTCTTACGGTTCTAAGGTGCACGACTAATCATTGGGGCCACGCCAGTGGCTTCTCTCGTACGCCTGCTCTCTCGCGTGCTTTCGGTTCAGTGCGCTTTTCTCGCAGTCATACCAAAGGCAAGGGCGACACGGCAAAAAAGGGGTTTTGATTAGTAACTTCGATGAACTCTTCACTGCTGGTCATTTGGGACCTCCACCTTCATTTTCGAGCGAGTACACAAGCATGATGTTCAATGAGGAGTGTGATACTTCCGGGAAAAAAACGTGGGTTCAGCAGAAGAAATGCCGCTCACAGTTCCATACCTGGGTGCATGCAAACTCTCTATAGACAAATAATTGGATGCATAAAAGTATGAACAAATAGTCCAGCCAGCGCTCTGGTGTATGCTGTTCTACTACCTCATTTGGAAAATCGTGTAGACATATAAGCGCTCCTTGGGAACACAATGACTCTTGAAATCAATTTGTGTTCACCTTATAATATCTTTCATCAACTCCATTCACATTCATCCATTCGCAAGTTCATAAAGCGCTATAGTTGTTCAGATAGAGGTTTGAAGGAAATTTTCGGCTTTGATCGATTCTTTTACGGACACCACGCAATCCTCTTCCTTTCAGAATCGCGACGGCAAATGAATACCATTGGCCTTTCTAAACAATGTCTTGCACGAGTATCATTATACAACAGGCCTGGCTTTACATACATAGATATGTGAAATCTCATGTTGCCTCGATCCCCGTCCTCTTAGCGAGACAAAGCGCGTAGACTTATCACTGTTCCCCACCTTTCCTTTCCAAAAGACTCCAATTATTTAGATTCTCAACGATAAGGATTCCTAAGAACGCTCAAACAAGCAGCTGAGCATTAGTCATATAGGAAAATCATGCCACGAAAATGTTTAAATACTCTAAGACCATTACCTGACTTTGTTTGTGCTGACGTCTTCCGATAAGTTGTCCAAAGCAACTGAACGTTACCAAAAACTCCTATGATGTTGAAAATAAATATTTCAAAAACAACAAAATACTGGGTAATCCTCAGCGTTGCATCTTGCATGTAACCTGCAAGATCGCAGGATTCTGCAAGCACTAGAAAAGAACTGACAAATGAGTATACAACAGAAGGAGTAGTCCTTTTCCACATC